GAAGTCTCGTTGCGCTTTCGGGTTCTTCCAAAAAGAAACTGCCACATTATGTAAGCGTAACATGCGAGCCAGTTGTTCAGAATTTTTATAAACATTGTAAAACCATCAAAACGAACTCTTTTTTCCAAAAAAAAAGCCAATAACAAGCACAACTTACGTCATCCACAAACTTAAAAAAAAAGACGGGTATTTCCTGCAACTTCTGTCATCAGATTTCTCAAAATCGTTAAAACGACCTTTCCGTTTGCACTACGTGATAAGCGCTTTGAACTGGTTGTAGTTCTCGATAACATTACTATCGATCGCGGATTCTTTAAACAGTTCTTTGTCAAGTGCATCTCGGAATTCGAAAAGATCTCTCCAGTACTGAAATAGAAGAAATATTGCCCCTTTTCATTTTATAAAAGACGGAACTGCACAAACTAACTTACCTTTAGAAACGTGTTTTTGAAGCGGCCAGTAACGTACACATACCAATAATTATGAAAATCCTTTTCGGCACTTTCACTGTTAACAATATGTTCCGTTAGCGTGACCGTGAATTTCTGAAAAATGCCCAAAAACAAATGTGTTTCGGATGAAAAAGCTAACTCCAGCAAATTGCGCTTATCGTTATCTTCTGGTTTCTGCCTATCATCAAACCAGTAGTGATAATGAGGCAAAAAAAGAAAAAAACAGAACAATCGGCCAATTTTATGAAAATCTAATGAGACGGAAATGAACAGGTGGAGCGTAAAAACTCTATGCGAGTAAATTCCTCAGAATTGATGACAGATTCAGCTTACATGAAGCACATCCAGAAGTAAGTTTTTCAAGCAATCTTGCAGTACCGCCAGTTCACTTTCTTTAATAACTGGTTCCATATCTTTCGTTTCTTCCGTGTCATTTTCATCGCATTCCATACGCTGTAAAGTATTTCATGACAGGATGGACTAGGGATACTTGCGCCGGGTGTATCTTATTGTCTTCTCGGTTAGCACATTTCTATTCCTTAACCTGAGCGATCATGGTACAGTAAAAATTTTTATGGGATGAGTGTTTA